GAGCAGGTGGAAGCAAGGGGCGAGGCCACCCCAACTTGACATCACCCACTGGGCTCCGAAAGGCCAGCTGTGGGGGCAGGAGGTGGCCCCCCTGCTGCCAGTCACTGCCGCCCCAGCCCAGCTCCCTGCACAGCCGTTCTCCCAGGTCTGCCCGGCGGTGGGCCGGCGGGCCCTCCTCTGCAGCCACTGCCGGAGGCGGCCGGGCACGTGGCACAGGCTGCAGTGCTCCTCACCCTGCAGGCGCCCCAGCCTGGGAGAGGCCAGCAGGGGGCCAGCAGCTCTGGACACCAGGAGGGCTGCTGGGGGGTGGGAAGCAGGCGTGGCCACCGGGGGCGCCCCTTTCATCCCGGAGCCACCAGGCCGGGCCAAGCCCAGAAGGGGGGACATGGGGTCCCCATCCAGCCCCCACAAAAACCGCCAAGCCCTCTGCAGAGCAGGACCCTGGGAGAGCAGGAGGGGCCTGGAGCTGTGCCCTCGCGGGGAGACCGAGGCGGGGCGCGCAGCTGCCCGGCGTACCTGTGGCGCAGAGGGCGACGAAGGTCTGCGCGTGCGTGCGGATGATCTGCTCTCCTCGGCCACCCGGCATTTTGGAGAGGAAGTGCTCGATGAAATCGTGGGGGGTCATGGCCGCCAGGTTCCACTTGAGTTGTTCACCAGGAGCAGCTCCATTTGCTGCAGGAGAGGGGGGGCAACAAGCATGAAGAGAGGAACAAGGGCAGGCCTGGGGGGACCCAGCCAGAGGGACAGGGAGGCCTGGGGAGGAGGAAAAGGGGCTGTTGCGGGGCCCGGGAAGTGGGGCGCGCCTCGGGACCCCAGAGCACAGCAGGAGGTGCGCTGCAAGAGGCGGCTGCTGGGGACGGTGCTGGGGAGCCCCGGGGGCCCCACACCTGGCGCGCAGGGCCCGCGCGGCCGCTAGGAGGCGCTCGCCGCCCACTTTTCGGCGGCTCTAGGGGCGCAGACCGGGTGGGCGCCGCGGCCGGAGCGCGGCGGGGCGGCGTGGCCGGCCCCCTCGGGGGCGCCTTGCCGGCCTCCGCGCGCCACCGCGGGCCCCCCCGCCCCCCGGGGGCCGGGCCCGGGCCCGGGGCGCGGGTACCAGCAGCTCGGCGGGCCGGATGGAGTTGTCGGTGTAGATGCAGAGCTTGTCGGCCGTCAGCGGGATGGTCTCCTTCATCTTGGAGGCCACGAACATGCAGGTGGCCCCGAGCAGCTGCAGGCGGCTCTTCGCGAGCGGCTCGAGCGACAGGAAGCGGTCCAGGTAGTTCATGGCCAGCGGGAAGACCTCCTCCTCGCACTTCTGCTCCTCGCACACCTGCGGGCGGGCGCCGTCACCGCGCGCCCCGCGCCCCGCCACCCCCGCCCCGAAACTGAAAGGGAAACTCCCGCGGGCCGGCGCGGCGGGGGCGCGCGGGCGGGGCGCGCCCGGCGGGAGGCGGCCCCGGGGCCCCCGGCCCGCCCGGCCCGCGGTCGGCCCGAGGGGTGCGGGCCCCAGGGGTGCGGGCCGCGGGGCGCCGCCGCGCGCGCAGACACAAAGGTGGCGTCCAGGCCGCGCCGCATTTCCCCAGACGTCATCTTTTCAAAAAATATTTAAAAATATAAAAAAAATAACTGGGCGCCTAAGAACCCCCTGAAAATGACCCCCGGGCGACCCGCCACCCGGGCCGGGGGTCGGGAGCTCGCTGCAGGCGCTGGGGCGCGCCCCAGGAATTCAAACTCGGGGCGCCCCCCTCCCCGGGCAGGCGCCGCTCGCCTCTCGCCAGGGCCCCGCGCCGCGCTTCCAAAAATGACTTTAAAATCCTCGCGGGCGGCCCCGGCGCCCGCTGCGGGTCTGAAAAGGCGCGGGGACCCCCAGCTCGCCGCGCACAGGCCCCCCGCGCCGGGCCCCCGCGCGAGGACGACTCCCCGCGTCCCGGGGCCGCCCGACCTCGCAGCCCGGCGCGCTCCCCGGCCCGGGCGCCCCGGGACTCGCTCCCGAACAAAGGGGCCTCCTCTCCCGAGGGGGGTGCCCCGGCCCGCCGGCGCCCCGGCCCCCCCCCCGCGCCGGCTCCCGGCGGCCGCGCGGCCCCTCGCGGCGGCCCCCGCGCCTCGCGGGCCTCTCCCCGCCCCCACCCGGCCCCCAATTATTAATAAACACTTTTGCTTTGCAATAAAAGAACAAAGATGGCGCATAATACTGGCACGGGCGGCCCGTGCATACGTGTCCATGGTATTAATTTGGAAACGAACCCCGTCTGCGCCCTCCCCGGGCGGCGGCGCGCGGGGCTCCGACGCGGACCCGGCTGCCCCGGCGGGGGCCACCGCGCTGCCCGAGCGCCCGGCCCGCTCCTGCAGGCCGAGCGGGGCGCCCCCGGGCGCGGGCCTCCCCCCAAGGGACCCCTCCTGGACGGCACCCCTCCCCCCAGGAAGGGGCCTTTCTGCGCCCCCACCCCCACCGGCCGAGAAAGCACGCGCGCTCGCCATCCACGGCCCGAAAAGCCGCCTCCGGCGCCGTCCCGCGCAGGGGAGCGCCGGGGCGGGGGGCGCACGAGGGCGGTGGGTGGCCGGGAAATGCGGGTTTGGGCAACAAGTGGCAGGGAGTCCGCGGAGAGCCGCCCGCGCGCGCACCTCCAGCATCCAGGTGGCCACGACCTTCCGCATGGACGGCAGGATCTCCTTCTGCACGCACTTGAAGTAGGACACCGAGGGCGCGCAGGTCTCCTCCGCCTTGAGCATGGCGCGCAGCACCCGGTCGCTCAGCAGGTTGGCATCGGGGTACGCCCGGCGGACGGACTCGGCCTCGCAGCACAGGAGCTGGTGCGCCATGGCCGGGCGGCTCGGGCCGGGGCGGCGGGGCGGCCGGGTACGCGCTCGCGGGGCGCCTGCGGCCCGCGCTCCTCGGGCTCCTGTGGCGCCGGCCGGAGCGCGCGGAGCTGCTGCTCGCTGCTGCTGCGCCGACGGCCTCTGGAGGCTCCAGGACTTTGCAACTTCCAACAAAACTCCCCTGGAGCCGCGTGACGTTACTGTTGTTAAGCGGAGATCAAAGCCGGGCGGAGAATGCGCGCGGGCGGGCGGGCGGGCGCGGGGGGCGGGGGCGCGGGGCGGCGCGGGGCGCGGCGAGGGGCAGACCCAAAAGCCGTCCCGAGGCGCCGCGCCGGCCCCGCGGCCGAGGGCCCCCAGCCCGGTTTTCATAGAAATGCAAATCGCCCCGAGGCGGCCTCGCTCCCCGCCGGGGGAGAGGGGGCGCGGGGGGCGCCCGCCCGAGTGGGCCCCCCGGGACTTGGGGGGTGGGATGGCAGCGGCTCTGCAGCGGGGACGCCCGGGCGGGCGGGCGGGCCACACGCAGCCGGGGAGCCCGCGGGGCGGGGGCCGCGGGGCCGGGCCCGGGGGCTGAGCCCGAGGATGCGCGCACCTCCGAGCGCGCCACGCGGGCACCCACGGGCGCAGGGCGGCCCGGCCGCCGCGGCTGCTCCTCTTTCGTTTTCGTGGCCACGTGCAGATTTCAGGAGCCGCTGAGCCCGCCGGGCCGCGGGGCAGGGCTCGAGCCTGCGCGGAGGCTCGATCCGGCGCACGGGGGGGTCGTCGCCAGTGCCCGCGGGGGCGACCCTGGACGCCGGAGGGGTTTCAGCCTAGCATGTGCCGCTTCAAAAATAAGATAAAATATATGCCCGAAAATTCCAGCCGCAGCCCAAGATGGTGGCCGGCATTTCCTCCCTCCCGCCCTCGCGCGCGGGGAGCTGCCCGCCGCCCTCTCTGCCCGGCCCGCGCGCCCCGGCCGGGGTCTCCAGCCCCCCGCCCCCGCCCGGCGTGCAGCGGCTGGAGAGACCCTCGGAGGCTGCGGAAACCCGGCCTCTGTCCGGTCTCATTTTTTAAATTAAAAAAAAAAATAACAAACCGCTGGACACGGCGCGGCCGCCCCGGCCGGGACCACCGGAAGCGCCTAATTGGCCGGGCCGGGGTGCGCGCCGCGCCGGGGGGACGCGCCCTGGGGCTGCGCTCGCGCGCGGGGGGCCGGGAAGGGCGGGCAGTTGGAGGCGCAGGGAATGGGGTGCCGACCTGGTGACTGACACAAGGTCTACACATGGGGTGCTCGGGGAGGGTCCCCGATATTACCCCAGAGACCCATAAAAGAATAAAGCGCTCTAAGTTGCAGAGCCCGTGTCTTGGCGGCTTTGGAAGACGTTTCGCCCAGTGTCCACCCTCCAGTGTCCTGCGCCCCCCGCCCCAAGGGGCGACACCGCCGGCGTCTCTCCGAGGCCGGTGCCCGCGAGCCCCGCGGCTGCAGCCGCGGGGGGCCCGGGGGTGGGTGCAGCGCCCCGGCCTCGTCTGCAGGGCGCGAGCCGCACCCCGCTGTCGGGAGAGACGCTTCCCGCGGCCCCTCCCCCACCGGGAACTCGGGGTGCTAACAGCCCGGTCCGGGGGGCGACGGCCCCGCGCCGGCCTCGGAGGCGGTGGGTGGCCGGGCGCGGGGCGCCCCCCGAGAGCCCGGGGGCACCGGCGCCCGCGCCCGCGGAGCCTCGCAGCAGCCTCGCGCACGCGGCGCCCCGGCCGCGCTTCATTCATAAAATCCGGGCCCGGCGGCCGCCCCGCTGATTTACGGGGCTGCGCGCTGCCGCCGCGCGGAGCCGGCCCGGGGCGCGGGGCGCGGGCCCCGGGGGCGGCGAGGGCCCGCGGGGCGCCGGGAGGCTCGCCCGCCCGGGCCGAAGGGGGCTCCGGGCCCGGGGGCGCCCCCCGCCCGGCCGCGCGCGGCCGCGGGGGTGGAATTAGCATGAGCCAATGGGGGCGCCGCGCTGTTGCCAGGCGGCGCGGGCAGATCTCGGGGAGCCCCGCCCAGGGACGGGCGCAAAAGTGCAGGCCCGGCCGGGAGCGAAGGGCCGGCCGCGACCCCGCGCGGGGGGCGGGCGCTGGAATGTGGGGCCCCGCGGGGGCGCCCCTCGGGTCCCCCGGGCCTCGCGAGGGGCCGACGGCCGCGGGGCGCGGGGGGCGGCCGCTCGGGGCGGGCAGCGGCGCGCTTTCTGGCTTCATCTTTAAGGCGAAGCGCAGCGTTCGGAGCCTTTCCCGGCGCAGTCCAGAGTTCGCACTGTCTTAAAAAAACCCAAAACACCCCAAAAACCCGCCCCGACGCGGACCCCGCGGGCTCCGGGCTCGGCTCCCGCGCTGCCCCCCACCCCGGCGCCCCGCGGACACAAAGGGCCGGCGCCGGCGTCGGGGCGCGGGAGCCGCGAGGACGGGCTGGGGGACTCTGCGGCGCCCCCCGAGCCCAGGGGGGGATCCGCGCGCGGCGCGTCCGCCCCGTCCCGGCCGCGGGCACCTCCCCTCGCGCGGCGGGCGCGCGCCCATTCACGGGGCCGGGCCGCGGCCGCGCGAGCCCCTCGGGGCGGGGGGGCTCGGGAGGGGGTGCAGGGCGCGGGGAGACTTCCCGAGGCGTGGACCCCCCGCGCCCCCCCTCGCGGAGAGGACGGGGGCGGCGCGGGGGGCGCGCACAGGTGGGGTCACCTGCAGCCGCACACCTGGCGGCGACTTGAAAGGCCTCGGCCCGGCCCCGCCAGGTTCCCCCGCTAAGCCCTTAAGTCGCCTTGGAAAACGCTTCCGAAAGCGGGCCGCGGGGTTCCGGGGGCGCTCGGGCTCCCCTTACCGCACAGGGCTCGCCTTGTGGCCGCCTGTGGCGCCCCACGTGCCGCGCTACTGGCACCCCGACCCCGCGGCGCGAATCCCCGCGCCCCAGAGGGGCGGGACGTGGCTGGGGCCCCTCCCGTCGCGAGTGGCGCGCGCGTCTGCACCTCGGTCCGTTCGTCCGGCCACGCGCAGGCTGCGCCCCCCACGCGCCCAGTCTCGGGGCGCCCAGGCCGCGGGAGCCGGGCGAGGTGTGTGCGGGGGTTCCAAAGCAAACCCCAAGTGGTTGGGGAGGGGCTGGCTCCCGCGACGCCTCGGGGATCCCTGGGGAAAATGCTCCCGTGGGGGCGAGTCCAAGCCTCGACCCGCGCCCCTCAAACCGCATCGCCTGCGCCCCGAGGAACAGGAACCCGGCGCTGACCCGGCGACGGGGGGTGGGCACCAGGGTGAGAAGATGATCGCCCCAACCAAGCGGAGGTCGGGGGGCGGGGGTGACGACCGAGGGCGCCGCGTCCGCGTCCCCTCCGCGTCCCGTGGCCACGCCGCGCCCCCCGAGGCCGGGACCGGGGTGCAGGGCGCCGCTGCGGGCCTCGCGAGCCGCGGTGGGGGTGCGCGGAGCAGACATGAGGGGCGGAACCGACGCCAGGACACCCCGTCGCTTCCCGCGGGGGGGGGGGGGGGCCAGGATTTGTCACTGCCCCGGCGCGCCACAGCCGGCCGGGGGGACCCCGCACTCTCGCACCCCGCCACCCTGCTTCCCTCTGCCCTTGAAGCGCCCCCAAACGCCTATCCTCGCCGTGGCCCTGGGGGGGCGGCCGGGTGCTGACCAGGAGGCCCTCGAGCCCCAGGGCCCCGACCCTCGCCAGGGGCGGCGCAGGCACAGCGGCGGTGCGCCCGACACCCCGCGCCGCGCCTCGTGCGCCCCGGCCTCTGCCCCGGCCCCCACCCGGCCCGATCCGCCCTGCGCGTCCTGGCGCCGGGGCCCGGGGCCGGGGGGCGCCGCGCGGGGAGAGCGGGGCGGCGGGAGCGCGCGCTGCGGACCCCGGCCCCGGCTGGGGAGCTGCGCCCCCCGCGCCGCGCATTCCGCGCATTCCCGCCGGCCGGGCCCCCGCCACGTGGTGCCCGCGCCGCGCTACCGTAATGGCTGGAGGAGGCGCGCACCGCGGCCGCCCAGCGCGTGCCACCTCCCGGGGCGCGCCGCCGCCAGGCTCGGGGACAGGCCCCCACCCCGCTCCCTGCGCGAGGAACGGGGTGCTTTTGCTTCCTCGGGAGGGCTGTGCTGCTGGAGTCATGACGCCCGCGCGCAGGCGGCAGGGAGGGCGCTCAGGCGCGAGCGTCCCTGATGGCGTGACTGTCCCTGCGGAGGAGGTGACCAGGGACCACTATGCCTTCTCGGGAGAGGGGGAGCTGCAGCCCTCCGGGGTTGCGCCCTTCCCTTGTTACCCCAGACCGGTGGGTGGCTGCGGCCAGCACCGCCCAGTGGGAGCAGAATCCAGAGGACTTGGGGGGTAGGAAGAGGACCCTAAGCTGGCTAGGCTGGTTGTTGGGCTTTTTTTTTTTCCCCCCTAAGTCCTGAGGGTCCATTTTCTGAGAATCAGAGCAAGAGAAAATACCCAGCGCTTCCCGGGACCCTGGGCGCAGACCTTGGCCAGCGGTGGGCCTGCTGGGACCCCCTGGGGCCCGCTGGGGTTCTGGCTAGGCTGGGATTCCCCGGGCTGGCATGGATGGGAGCAGGTCCAAGCCCCTCCTGACCCTGCCACTCCTCTGATTCCAGGCCTGGGCCCGGCGCTTCCCCGCAGCTGCAGGTGGGGCTGGGGTGCGGGAAGCGGCTTCTGGAAGCTCTAGCCCCTCCTGGGCCTCCGCAGTTTCTCCGGCTCTGGCTTTAGCCATGAGGCCAAGCTTGGAATTCCCAGGGAAGAAAACCCCAGCGACGTCCCACGCAGGCTTCAAGGTAAGGGGCTGTTTGTCAAGAAGAGACGGGAGGTAAGATGGGAGCAGGAAGGCACGGGGAGTGGCGGGGCCGTGGGGTACACCGGCGAGAGCGGAGAGACTTGGGTGGCCCCTGCTCCCAGGCTGACAGCGAGGCCGCGTCCGGTCGAGGAGGCCCGCAGAGCCTTCTGGACCCAGACCCCTCTAGCCATCTCGTTCTGAAACCCGCAGGCAAGGGGCAAATGACCAGCACTTAGACGCCCCGGGGTTCGCTGTATAAAGAAGCTTTTTTGAGCT